AAATCCTGCTTTCTCAGCCCCTAATTAATTGAAGTTTGAAGGTGTGAGGAAAGAAACAGTTGTCCAGAGCCATCCCTTAGTGTACCCGGGAGTTTCCTTGATCAGTGTTTGTTAACAAATCGGGTTGGTTTCTGGACAGTTGGTGCTGGAGACATTAGCATGGGGAGTGGCTGTCAATTCAGATTTTAGAATGACCATCATATCTTCCACAAGAGCTGTTTTTCCGCAGCCAAATCTATTTGTGATTCTTATTTATCAGGTTCTTTTAAAAGTTTTTGTTTGTTTGTTTATTTGCTGTTGTTTTGGCTTATAAGCATCATTACCGTGGCTATCTTTAGAGTGTCTGCTTTTTAAAAATAGTAACTTTTACCCCTTATTTTCTTTCTTTTTCTTTGGCTTTCTTTTTTCTTTGCATGTTTTTCTTTCTTTTTTTCTTTTTTCTTTTTTGGAAGGGACATTAACGTCAATCTATTTAGCTAGTTTCTAGTTTATATTTGTCAAATATTTTGGACTAAATTTATTAATACTGACTTGTTCATAAAAGAAATTGTTTCCTGAAGTTGTAAGACTGGATTCTTTAAAATATGGAATTACACTTATGTTAAAAAAATGAACACACCAATCACGTGGGAGCTTATGTAGCTGTAAGAGCAGGCAAATATGAATCGATACACCTAATTTTGCAATAGAAAATCATTGCTGGAGACCGTATTTCAACAATCACATTTGGGTAAAGATTGGATTATCTAGGATAGTTAACGTCAAATATTATGAAATATCTATCAAGTATTAGTTGGAATTTACAAATTTTATGTTATAACTTAACTTCCAATATTATATATATAGTCATATTGGCTGCCATATTTAAGCTCTGTTTCATCATATGGTTGTTCCAGCAATATCAGAGAAGAGGGACAGGTGCAAAAAGGTAAACTCAACTGTTTGGGGCAATGAGCATTCTAATATTACTGAAAATTGTATCCCCTTAATTTACCAGCTGCTGTGCTGTCCCCCTTCTCCCTCACTCTCCCCAAACTTCCTCTGTTCTCTAGTGTGCTACCAATTGCCCTGAACTCGTTTAGCTCTTCTGTTTCCATAACTATTCATTTTCTGATTCCTTAGAAAACGCTATGACAATTTCATCTTGCTACTATTGAAATATGTTATTTTGATGATGAATTGCACTAATAGGTTTTCTGTTATTAAGCTTGCTGAGCCATCCTTGTGCTTCTGGGATAAGCCTGATTCCATATGAAATTTTGTGTGTGTGTGTGTGTGTGTGTGTGTGTGTGTGTGTGTGTGTGTGTGTTTGTGTGAGAGATTAATCATGCATTTCTTTAGGAATGTTTTTGTCAAGTTCTTAAATGAAGTTGACCTGTGAGTTTTCTTTCTCATAATATCCTTGTTCAGACTTAATATCAAGATTGTTAGGATTGTAGTAGCCTCAAATTGAGTTGGGAAGTTTTACTTCTACGTCTAAGAAAACTTGTGTAAACTTGGGCTTACATGTTCCCTAAGGATTTGAATAATGCTCACATGTAAAACTGAGCCTGTTTTTTTTTTTTTTTCTTTTTGAAATATTCCTGTATTGTACTTGGAAGTTTATTATGCATTTTATTTGTTTTTTTTAGGTATAATAACAAGTGATTGTAATAAAAATATATAATATTTTTTAAAATGGGAGAGGATGTGCATATACTTACAGGCAGAGGGAAATGGACCAGGTAGTATCAGAGATTTTAGAGAAAAGCCTAGGTAATTTAGAGAAGTATTTAAAGAGGAAAGAAGAGATGAGAGCAACTGGTCCTTGAAAAGAGGATAGAGTGACTTTTGTCTGATCTGCTGGGGAAGTTGGGAGGCTAGGTATTGCTCCAGGCTTTTAGCTCAAGAGATGGGTTGGTGGAGAGACTTTCTTGCAAGGCTCTCGTGGTATCGGTGAGATAGAAGCCAATGTAATATGCAAAATTGAGATGGCAGACCTTCTGGAGGAAAGTCAGAAAGAAGAGAATATGCAGATTACTCAACTTTGATCTATGTTAACCATAAAAACATACAGTTTTACTGGGGAAGTTCATTAGAATTTCAAATAAGGAAACTGAACAATATTGACAGAACTATATGCTGTTAACTCATTTTTTCCTTGTACATGACTCCTTTTATTACTTGAGGGTATTTTAGGCAGTAGTATAACTGCCTTCCTGTTGTTCAGTGCAGGGACTGAAACCTGATGTATGCCTCTTTAGCCTGGTTCCTGTTAGACACTTTCTTCCCAGTCTTCCAACTAACGAGAAAGATGCATGCATGGGAAATAAGTAAACTGATTTCTCTATCTTTCATAGTCTTTGTCTTAGAGGCTCATCTCTTCACTCCCCCAGCAGGAAGGTCAGCCCTTGGCCTTCTGTTCTTCCCTCATGCAGTTGGAAGATTGGATGCAAGCCCAGGTCTGGGGGCTCTGAGTTGTGGTGAACAGAGCCCTGATGTTCACTCTGGAGCCTGGTGCTGGCAGTGCTCCCTGGTCATGTGTTTCCCCTCTGAATGATGAACCTCTTCAACTAGAACGTCTTTATGGACACTTAGAGGACTTAGCGATGTTTAACAATGGCTGCGAGGCCAAACTGCCATGGGAAATTTTTCATGTGCAACATTCCCATTGTTGAAAGATAATAATCTGACATTATTCTCTTTCTCTAAAGTCACTTCAGACTCCTGCTGCCTGTCTCAGTCATCACTGTTTTCTTCTTCATTTAATTTGGAAATTGTTTTGTTCTGTTTAACTTGTTTTCCTTGACTTCATTTCTAAATCAGAAATGAAGAATGTTCATTTATAGAATGTTTTGTAGAATGTTTTGCCATTGCAGATCCCACGTCTTTATCCATTTTCAAAACCACTACCTAAATTGTATGTTTTTCAGGTTTTTAAAAATCTGCTATTTTCCCTTCCATTCTCTGCCCTTTCCAGACCATCCTTTCCATCAAGTGCTCATTCAAATTCCAAAGACATCTGCTCGAATGGGTCAAGTGCTTTCCTGATAACTTTTTAAAGCTTTGCTGTCATATATGAAATCAAGCCCAAACCTTTTAACATGAAAGTGAATTTTTCTACAGTTTGTATTTAAATACATCTTTCAGTTTCCCCTTTCCTAGTAGCTTCTTAAGTTGCTGTTACTTTTTCTTTTCTATTTTCTCTTTTTCCTCTTTCCTTTCCTTTTTTATTCTTCATCTCTTGAATTCGCTTACTTGTTCTTACTTCATTTCACACATTTATTATTGCCTGTCACATTCAAGATGCTGTGTTGTATGCAGCAGGCACTGCAGGGAGCAGTGCAGACACAATGGCCATTGGGTTCTCTCTCTTGCCCTGGAATGGAGACACTGATGGAGTGAACATGAGTTATACCAGTTATAGCCACAGGGGGCACCACGGCCTCCCATGTTGCTGTCTTGCTTTGACCCTCTAGGACATCTTTCCTGTCACTCTCTGCTCAAATCTTTCCTTTTGTTTTACCAAAGCTCAAATCATCTCTTCCTTTCGTGTAAGAATAACTCCTATAACTCCACAAGCCCCTAATAAACACTTTACATTGACAGACACCCTGTTTAAACATACTAGTGCTATTTCTTTAACTGAATTACAAACCCCTGGAAGGGTTGCTTATTAATAACTGTTTATAGTTCCAGTGCCTTGTACATATCTTGCTCTATGTATTTCGTTTTCATTTATTTGCCTACAAAATGTAGCACTTTATATAAAAATCCTTAAAAAATCAAGATATCATGCACATTACAGTTTCAAGCCCCTCTCTATATAGCTCACACCTGGTTTCCTTTAAGCAGAAGATAAATTTCACTTGATATAACTTCCCCCCAATAACTGTTAGTAGAGAAAAGACATGTTTATTATATAGAGATAGTCCTTAAAAATAATTCCTCTCAATTACATCAACAAAGGAATTTATACAGGACATAATATGGGATGGGGGCATATAGAAATATGCCCCCATTGAAAACATAACACTGATGTTTTTGCATCAGTGTTTGCCGGGGGAGATTCTTTCCTGTGTTACACACTTTTCCCTCCAACCAATAACTTCATTGATTTGACAGTTGTTATGTGCCTGGTTAGTCAGTGTGGTTATTCAAAATACTAAATCCAAGAGAAAAAGACAATCAGATGACATGGTTAATTGTCAATGATAACGATGAGGTATCCCACGACTGGCAGGCAACTCACTGAATACTTTTTAGTGTTAGAAATTAGCTAATGAAAATTGCAAAAATGGCTCATTGAAGCAGCATTCTGTCTCTCTTCAAACACTGTCATTTTATAATAATCAGACTCTGGGCTGGAGGTTGTCTAATAGGAGTTAACAGTGCTTGTAAATGCTGTCTCTATAGAGTGGCTATCTCCTGATTTCCCTTAGAAAAAATGCAAATGAAGCCTAGAAGTAACTGTGGATTTCTCATCTAGAAAGGTCTGAATGTGTTTAACAAGTCTAATCATGGGGCCAAAATAGAAACCCAAAGGGCAGGGAAATGGAACGCCTAATTTAAAAGAAGGCAAATGGTGCTTGTGTGCTTGGTGCTTTCTCCTAAGGAGGCTTTTGTAATATTAAAAAATCTTCAGCTCTTTTGAGTTAAGTTGCACAGGAAATGGTCTTGTTTGCATTCAGTATTCCTTTGATGAATCATGTGAATGCTGTGTTATTTTCTGCCCAGCCCAAAGCCAAAAGGAAAATGCACATCTGGCTTGTAAATCACAACCAAGCATTGATGCCTCACTTGCTCTTTATTGGGTGGCTGCCCTCTGTGCTTTACAAGTTCTTAGTGTGGCTTATGGGGCATCCTGAGGGAAACCTCCCGTGGCCTCTGAAGGATGGCATAGAGGGACCTCCAAATCCTCTCTGAAATGTAACATTTGCTACCTGATGTACGCTTTCTGTGGTCCCCAGAGAAAATATAATTCATTTTTATCTTTTTATTTATTTATTTTTTCTGTTTAGAAATTGGCCCCTGGTTACGGGAGTTCAGAGCGAAGAATGCTGTGGATTTCTCGCAGTTAACATTTGACCCAGGACAGAAAGAACTTGTTGTAGGAGCAAGGTGAGAGATATTGTGTTTTGCCACCGCAGATATTTTTGGACTTCATCTGACATCTGTGCAGTTACGTGTGACCTTCCCTGACAAAACTGAAGAGTGCTGAACAATATTATTTCTTATAAGAATGAAATACAGTATGTGTCATAAAATATACTACTGCTAATAAGATGTTGACGGCTTCCCTTTAGACCAAGCATTGATGGGGCCCTCACCCTGTGCCAGGAACTGTTCTAACATGAATTAACTCATTTGTTCTTCCATTCAAACCTGAGAGGTAGGTACTATCAGCATTGCTGTTTTAGAGATGAGGAAACTGAGGGATAAAGTAGATAAATCAGTTGCCCAGGGGCATATGCCTAAGAAAAGATGGACCTGGATTCCCAACCCAGGCAGTTTGACTCCAGAAACCACGTTCCTGACTTCCCACTTTATTCCTCAGTGGGATTCTAGAGATCCAGAGATCTTGATGTGTACTCCAAGGCCCACCACCACCTTTCTTTGTCACCTTGATTAGGCCATATAACCGTAAGTTAGAATTCAAGGAAGTTATTTTCATCTGTGTCTCTTAAGGGTGTGCATGTTCCCGTATCTAGGTCAACACCTGCAACCCAGTTTGACGATGAGGCCACCAGAACACAATGAAAACAAATTTGAGTCTTTCCCCCCTTTTCACTCACTTCCTTAGAAAACCTATGTACCTATGTGGGGATTGTATATCCATCTTTTAAAAAAATTGATATTAAAGTTGAAGACAGGGGCCATATGTAGAATTGGGTTCTTCTGACACCTAAGGATGGCACATTGGGCAGTGGAGAGTTCATTATCTTTTTCATCCAAATCCAGAGTATAAAGCATACCTTTCATAGCTATGGAGGTTCTGCCGTCTCTGTATAAACTTGAGTGAAACTAAATCTAGCTTATACACTGGGCACTCTAGGTGAACACTGAACAGATTCTAGGATTGCTGCTCTTGCTCTCAGATCTTGAGGAGTCCTTGTACATCCACTCAACACTTGAAGCGATGAATGGTTGTGATTTTACATGAGTAGGTAGAGGTTGGCAGAGTTTATTGCACCTAACTAGTTACTTTCGGCTCTTCTGATGTTTGTGAGGAGGCGGTGAGTATAGATGGGACAAAGCTACTTGGTGTTCTTTTCCTTACTTTAGTCCTGTCAGAATACTGGGTGGTTTCTGATGCTCGCTTCCATCAAACTTCATCACTTGGCGTTCAGCCTGTGTTTTGCAGCGGTGGGAATTGGTCTCCTGGCCTCCAGATGTTCTCCTCCTTCTGCATACCACAGCCAGCATCGCCTTTTAAACATGCCCACTTTCAGTAGCTCCCAGTGGGTCAATGCTGGCTCCCTGGGGTGGTATGCCAGCTCTTCTACCTTGCGTTCTCATCTCCCTTCCAAACTTCCTGTTTTCATTCTCCCATGGTCCAGGCATGTGGAATTATTTATTCAGTCTACAGTTATGGAATATGCTCTTTCCTGCCTCTGGGTTTTCCCTTCTGACCTCTTTCTTATTTTCTGGAATACTGGCTACCGCCCATCCCTACTCCAAATTCTCTGCTTGGTAAACTCCCACTTGTAGTAAGGACCTGGCTCACAGGTCAGCATCAGTTCCGAGTTGCCACATCCCCTGCCTTGTGTGCCCACCTGACATCTACCTTTTTTGTTCTGCACTTATTGTAGAATACTGCATTATTTCTTGACAAGTCCCCCTTATCAGATGGCAACTTACCCGAAGACAAGGGAAGTACCTGTCTTTTCTTTATTTCTGCAGAATATAGCACAGATTTTTACTGCTCATAGAAGCTCATAGATAACTGTTGTTTCAACACATTTATTTCCAGAATTGAATTGGTAATTGTTCCCCTCTGCATCTGGGTGAACACTTATAGAAAAGGGGGTTGGGATTATAAAAGCTTATCCCAGATACCTACATTTGGCAAGGGCGTGAACCAGTGGCAGGCTGTATACACCAAAGCTCACTCTGAGGGAAAATGAGCTTTCACTCTGAGCCAAGGGAACAGACCCCTTAGTGGAGAGAGCAGGTACAAATATGACCCCAAGTAGTGTTTTGAGTATTGCATCCCTCATTCATCTCTATAGAACTCTGGAAAGGTTTTACTATGACTTTGTATCTGGAGGTCCTGGGTGCTGTGTGAACAGAGCAGTACTACATTCTCTGCAAGTGATTGGCTTTTGGTTAGTGACTCAAGATTTTCCTAAGGGATGTGAGAAGCCACGGAGGAAATTATGGTATTGTGAAGAGATGTGTTATGCTCCTGTTCTGGCTACAGATAGCAACTGGGAATTGTTTTCAAGGGGTACTTGTCCCAGGAGGTCTCCATCCCAGAGTCCCTGGAGTTCTCTATTCCAGTGTCAGTGGGGTCTCTCTCTTAGTATCCCTAAAGGTCTCTGTCCAATATCTCTGATGGTTTCCATTTCAGCATCCCTGGAAGTCTATATCCCAGTGTCTCAGGGGTGTCTCCATTCCAGTGTCCCTGGAGCCTCCACCCCATGTCCCTGGAGTGTCCATCCCAATGTCCCTAGAGTCTCCATCCCAATGTCTCTGGTGGCTTCCATCCCAGGGCCCCTGAATCTGCATCCCAATATCCCTGGAGTCCTCATCCCAACATTCTTGGAGGTCTCCATCCTTTGCATATCAACATGGTCTGCTGGGAAGGATTAGATGGGCCACCGAGTCAACCTGGCATGCCATATGGCATGGTGGACATGAATACTTGGGATTGCCAGATTGCAAATAAAAATCTAGGATTTGCATTTCAGATAACAACCTTTTATATTCTTATCATAAGTATGTTCCAAAAGTTTGTTGACCCGAGGAGCATGGGCTGTAGTTTTCTATTCTACAGCAGTGCATGGTACATTATAGACATTTGATAAATAACAGAAAAAAAGAAGTCTGGCCCTTATTTAAATGACTCTAAGCCAGTTTCCAAGCCTGATTTTCTCATCTTTAAAGATAATGTAGTAATTTCTACCCCTTTCAGCTGTTGCAAAGATTAAATAAAATAACCCATGGGAAGTTATTGTCACTTAACAGTCAAGCTGGTGAGCACGCAGCCCTAGTGAAGCTCTGAGGGTCTTCATGGGTTTCACATACGTGTGCACATGCCTTTGTGGAAGAGAATAGGAATTTCACTTAGGAAATTTCATGGGATTAGGCTCAAAAAGTTTGAAAGGGAGTGTGAGTCAGATATAAAACTTTAAAAATAACCCAGCCCTCAGATTCCTGTTTGGCAAAGCTTGACTTAGCAAGCGTAAGTTTAGATAACAGGTGTATTATTTCAGAAATCAGTAATGATTTAAAAATATGGATTGTGAAAAAAATAGAATGCTCCTGGATTTTTCTTCATAGCACTCGGCATCGTGGAGCCATTTATTGGATGGTTTCACTTTATACTAGCGATACTTTATGTTCCTGAAATTGAATTCAGTTAAAGATTCTTTGTACTCATTGATAAAAGAAGTGCATTGTGCTGCAAGAGAAAAGTCTCTCTTTAGGTGATTTGTGGTTATGTAGCATCAGGAGGTACTTGGATCTGAATTCAGGCAATTTCTGGAAGAAGTCATACATTTTCATTTCCAAGATGCACATGATCTTTCATATTATCTTAAATGCATTGACAGTCATATCCTGTTTTACCCTAGTCTCTTTAAAAATTAATAATATTTGTGTTTTCAGTGATGAAACTTAGGCATTTTCATTTTAGAAAATGTAGAAAATACAGTAAAGCATAAAGAAAAAACAATTTCAGAGATAATCACAATTAAGCTTTCCAGTTATTTCCTTGCACTATTTGATTTCTATTTGTTCCTACTCTTGGGATAATATTTGTTGACTGATTGCATACTTCTTTGTCACAAATCCTACTAAGATCAGTTTCCTTGGTATAAAAAAAATTCCAAATGAAAGAATATGTTATCACTGTTTTTGGTAAAGAAGATTATAAAAGGAATGGCAGTGAAAATACCCCACACACTTGATACAAGTGTTTCACTGCAGATTGAATTGTTGCAACAGATGCAAGGGAGGGTGATTACATTTTTATTTCCCAAATGAATTTGTTCGTCTTCAGTGTTTCAGGTTCATTCCAAGGGTGGCAAGTAATTCCATCCCGAATCACTCTGATATGTATTCTGTGCTGAATACAAGTATTATTCCAAATGGCAGCTAACTCAGTTGACACATAAGGCAGTGTTTGACTGCTGTTGGGCATTTACAAATTGGCCATATTTTTATAATGCATAAAGCCTTACAGTGCTAATGAAAAAGAGTTTATTATCAAAGCATCTGTAGCATGAGCCTTTGCCACTGAACTGTGGGGAAGATGTGGAGCCACTGTTTCTGGCTGTTTAGGTGCTTTTCTTCAAAATGCGATTTTTCCAAATGAAAACATTTTTAAACATGCATCTTAGTTTCTAAAATGTGAATTTTCTTCAGGTTTTTAAATGTGCTTCTTGGTCTTTATTTTTGTCCAGTAACTCAATTCTGTGTCTCTTTTCTCCAACAAGCTTGAGTGTAATATAAACACATAAATAAAAGGGTACAGGCCTGGCGCAGTGGCTCATGCCTATAATCCCAGCACTTTGGGAGGCTGAGGCAGGCAGATCATGAGGTCAGGAGATCGAGACCATCCTGGCCAGCATGGTGAAACCCTGCCTCTACTAAAAATACAAAAGAATTAGTATAGAGTTCTGATTAGCATGTTTATTTTTAAAATAAATAAATATGCAAAATCTGAATGCTTCCAAAGCAGAGCTTGGTCTTCCTTACAGTAGCAAAAAAATGATTGGTTGAAAAATTTTAGTTTATTGTTTTGAACCATTTGGCTAATGGTTTGAACTTACAGAAATAAAAAAGGAAAGATTAACTTGCTGTTTTTGTGCTTGGGCTGAATTTGCTTTAAGTATTCAAAACTCTTAGGAGATAAACTTAGGTGCATTAAAATTTTAACGAGTTTATTTGAGCAT